GAACAAGATGCGTGTCATAAAATTCATTATATTGCTATTTTATGGAAATCTAATATTTAATTTCGATTTGGCTTTTTCACTTGATGGAGATAAAAACTCGACGTTCTACGTTACGTATGATGAACATATAATCGATCTTAAGTCTAATCACTCTTTACCTAAAGTAGTGCCAACAGAATACTCTGTTGAGCTAACATTAGATACAGAAAGAAATATTTTTTATGGGATATGTAATATTAGCATTACAGTTCATAAAATAATACAAGAAATAAAATTGCATTCAATGAATTTAAATATAGAATCAATTCAACTGCTTACCATTGATGATTATTCAAAAATATATGTGATACGTGATGCTTCATATAATCTTCTAAGAACTATGAAGAAACTATATATATTTTTCCATAATTATATATTATTACCTAGTGATTATATTTTATACATAACATTTAAAGGTGACATTGCTAATATCGACAATGACATCGGAGGCTTTGTCAAAATCCCATATCAAAATGAAGAAGGAGATAAAAAGTGAGTAGAAACATATTCATTACATTATATTCGTATAAGTAGTAATACTTTAAATAAATTAATAAAGAACCATTAACTACTCAAAATTAATGACTCATACGTTGCATAATATGCAATAAAATTTCGTTAAATATATAGAAAGTATAGAAGTATTTTATAATAATTTAGAGAACATAAGAAAAAATTTAACTTGATTGTATTAAAAAATGCCTATTTTTAAATATATATGTTACTTATATCTTATAGTCATCAGTAGCTAATAAAATAAATATTTAATTATAAATATTGTAATAAAACAGAAAGAAAAACAAAATAAGACTTGCACCAATAAATGTAAAGATCGAAGAGAAAGGTTTTCATTAAAATATTTTTTCCACAGTTTTTATATTAATTTTAAATAATCATACACATTAAAAATTTACTATTAAATATTATACTATTAAAATTGTGAAAATGTTTTAGATGGTTTATCACAACACATAACTCGGCGACTGGAATACGACGCCTATTTCCATGTTGGGATAAGCCAGGACAAAAGGCTAATTTTAGCATTACCATAAAGCATAAAAAAAATTACAAAGCTTTTTCTAATATGGCTTATTCTCCTACATCTACATTAAATGAACACATGGATATAATCGAGTCACACTTTGAGACAACTTTTGAAATAGCCCCTTACCTCATAACAATTATCTTATTCGATATGAACGACTATTTCTTTATTTGTTCTCCAGACAGCCAATTCAAATTGTTGAGTAGGAGACAGGTGATAACAGATCAAACTTTTGCATTTAATTTAATTAACAATATTACATATAGCATTGAGAAGCAATCGCAACTACAACAAGGATCTTTATCAGGAATTCACTTTGCGATCCCAGGTTTGAAAAGTGATGGTGTGGATAAATTCGATGTTGTAATTCACAGGTAGTATACGTAACTAAAAAAATAAATGTCAATATTTTTACAGTAAAATTGTCGTCACAGAATAGAAAAAGCTATTAAATAATGTATTATATAAATAATTAGTAAATAATTAGTAGTAGAAGATGGTAAACTGTGCACATTTGTAACATAAATGTTAGACATGTAATGACGATGTTTATAAACGGTTTTTCAGAGAAGAAGATATCATTTATAATAAAAAGATAGATCCCGTTGCGCATAAAATGGAAATATCGCGTTTAATAGGACGTAAAATAGTTAGTAAATTCTTCAGTAAGATCAATCCATCAAGTTGGGCTTACATGTGGATAAACAACGGTCTTGCTATGCTATTTGGAATGTATATGCTCAATAAGGTATTTCCTCATGTCCGTTGTGATCTGTTTAAATGATTTAAACAGATCAAATATTTACAATATTTAAGAGATACGAGAAAAACAAATGTATTTTATTTTAACATTTAACCTATGTTATTTGACCCTCCGAGATACAACATGTTTTTCATTGTTTTATACGGCACAGCTGGGTTACTGAGAGCGGTTATATTTTTCAAAAGGTTTTTGAACTCTAAAAATCTGAAGAAATTATGATATACTTTTTCAACGATTGTACAGTTATTTTACGTTCTTTTTACTTTATTTGTACAAATCCGAATTTAAGGTAGACATAAAATGTAATGCTGCAATAAAAAATTTATAATTTCTTTATACGTGCACAAAGAAAATCCTTTTAGCTTTAAATAGTCGTGACTTTAGCACTTACAAGAAAAAGTAGTGTAATGATACCTGCTTTAAAAAACTATAATTATTAAATTATATTATTTAGGTAAGCGGAAAATTAGCAATTTTATAAAAAAATAGAAGAAAAGATAATAAAAGGGAATGCAAGCAATTAAGCGGTCTTTAAGTGCGAAGGTGATTCGGGATATAAAGACTCGGAGCCGTTGCGATCATGCAGACTAAAGTCGCGATTTGTAAATGAAAAATCCGAGTTCGAATTCTGATTCGATTCCGTTAATATTTCCGTTTTCTACAGGAAAAAAAAATTAGTTTTTATTAAAAAAATAATATGTTAAATGAATCATTGGAGGGTTAATGCATAACTATAATAATAATATAATAATTTAATATTGTAAATAATATCATTACGCATACATTATTTTAAAACCCAATAGTGTTTATAATATTTTAAATTAATATAATTCTTGTGCTCTATTAGTTTTATTATGATATTTTCTTTAATGAAACAAATTTATTATATATTGCATATTTTTAACATCTAGACTCTTCCAAATGCTCGACCGTTAGATTTGTTTGTGGTTCAAATTCAACAAGAATCTCTCCGTTTTGACGATCAACATATTATATCTTCTCTTCAAGAAATAACAAGAAATGACATAAGTTATGTCCAATTCTCTTTTGCCTATTACATGAAAGGTATGCAATACTGGATGCAATATTAATACAATTGTAAAATTATTTAGATTCTGTTTTAAAAAAATAAATTTTATTTTATTGTATTTTCTTTTTCTAATTCACTAAAAATTTAATCATTAAAAATTTAATCACTAAAAATATAATAAGTATATAAATAAAATTAAGAATCGTAATTCTTTGAA